TATAATTTATTAAATTAAATATATTAATTTAATATATTAAATATATGCTTTGAAGAGGAAGCAAATGAAGAGATAATTAGTACATTTGGAAGATAGATACAGAGGAAATCACACCAGAGATAGGTAAAGAGATTGGAAAGGTAAAAAAGAAGTTGGGAAACATGGTGGATAGGGTGAGAAAGTTCAATTTATGTCTAAGAAAAGTTCCAGGAGGACATACTAGAGATAATCAGGGAGAAGCAATATTTGAAGAGGTACATTTTCAAAATTAAGGGTATATATGAATCATTAGATTGAAGGATCACAAAGAATCCTAAGCAGAAAAATTAAATAAATTTATATGCAGACCTATCATAGTGAACCTGCACAGCATCACCGATAGTAAGTAAATGTCTTAAAAACTGCCAGAAAGAAAATGCCTATTTATCTACAAAAGGAATATAATTAGACTAGAAGATTTCTTTTTTTTTTTTAAAGATTTTTTTTTTTTTTAATTTTGTTTATTTGACATAGAGACAGAGAGAGAGGGAACACAAGCAGGGGGAGTAGGAGAGGGAGAAGCAGGCTTCCGGCTGAGCAGGGAGCCGGATGCCGGGCTCGATCCTAGGACGCTGGGATCATGACCTGAGCTGAAGGCAGATGCTTAACCGCCTGAGCCACCCAGGCGCCCCAGACTGGAAGATTTCTTATCAGTGACAATAGATGCCTTAGATAATGGAATAATGTCTTCAAAATGTTGAAAGAAAGTATTTTCCAACCTAGAATTCTATGTTGAAATGAACTTTGAGGGTGAAATAAATATATTTTTAGATATTCAGAGACTATGAGAGTTATTATTCATATTGTCTCAATAAGTGAGTTACTAAAGAATTTTGAAAGAAGTAAAATGAAACCAAAAAGAGGTATCAAACTGCAAGAAGAAATGGTGAGCTTAGAAGTTGGTAAAATATTGGTAAATATAAATAAAAACAGGCAGTAAAAATTAATAACAATGGTAAATAATTTCATGGGATTTGAAATAAAGTAAAACTAAAATACTATTTAAAATAAGATGGGTGGGAAGATGAGAATTAAAGCATTCTTAGGTTATTGAATCTTTATGGAGAAAAGTAGTGGTTGATGAACTGTAGGCTTTGTAAATTCAAACATGAAATTTAAAATTTTAAGGGCATGCTAAAAGAATAGGTATAGAGGGTATAACTTTCAAAGCAGCAGTACAGAAAAAAAGGGGGAATTGTGAAAATTTAATCAGGACAGTGGAAGGTGGAAAAGAAGAAAAAAAGAAAGGAAAAGCATGATTAAGAAAAAACACAAAATAACATAACTGAGGGGCACCTGGGTGGCTCAGTTTGTTAAGCATCTGCCTTCAGCTCAGGTCATGATCCCTGAGTCCTGGGATCAGGTCCCACATTGGGCTCCCGGCTCAGCAGGGAGCCTGCTTCTCCCTCTGACCCTCTCCCCTCTCATGCTGTTTCTCTCTCTCTCTCTCAAATAAATAAATAAAATCTTAAAAAAGAAATAACTGAAATAGTTCCAAATACATCAGTAATTTCAATAAATGTAAACATGTTAAACTTTCAGGTATCAGTTTTAAAAATTTAATCTAGTTATATGTTGTATATAAGAGACACTTAAGCAAATTTATATAGAAAGGTTGAAAATAAAGGAATGGCAAAAAAAATATACCTGACTTATCCTAAGGAAAGGTGGTATAGCAATATTAATATGAGATAAAATATGAAGCAGAAACTGTAAATAAAGATAAAACAATATAGAATGATAAAAGTGACATTCTACCCAGAAGATAATAACAAACAGGAATGTATACATCTAATAATATAACCTCAAACTGTAAATAACCTGGTAGATTTATTTTTTTAATTTAAAGATTTTTTTTATTTAAAGATTTTATTTATTTGTTTGTTTATCAGAGAGAGAAATGTGTACACAAGCAGGGGGAGCAGTAGGCAGAGGGAGAAGCAGGCTCCCCACTGAGCAGGGATCCCAATGCAGACTTGATCCCAGGACCAAACCGAAGGCAGACGCTTAACCAACTGAACCACGCAGGCATCCCAACCCAGTAGATTTAAAAGGAGCAATTGACAAATTTATGGTCATAACACACTCCTCTCTTAAAGTAATAGAACAAGGAGACAAAAAATTATTTAATAGGAAAGCACACATATATTGATGAAAGCCAGTGATAAAAAACAATCTTAAAAGAAGCCAAAGGGAAAAGATAAAAGACACATTATATACAGAGGAACAAAGACAAGTATAACAACAGATTTCTCTTCAGAAAGTATATTATCCAAAAGACAATGAAAAGACCTGTAAACCTAGAGTTCTATACACAGTGAATATATCTTTTAAAATAGACAAAATAAAGATCAAAACAGAAACTGAGAGAATTCATTACCACCAGACCTGCACAATGAAAAATAATAAAGGAAGTTCTTCAGGCAGAAAAATAATAATACAGATGGAAATTTAGATCTAAATAAAGAAAGCACCAGAAATAGTAAATGTACAGGTAAAATAAAATATATTTTCTCAATTTTTATCTCTTTTAAATGAAAAATAATAAAAATGTAAATTTTGTAGTTTATATAGACGTAAAATGTATGACAACAAGTGCACAAAGGCAAGAGAGGATATGGAGATATACGATTAGGAAGTTCTTACACTATATGCACAAAATGGCATAAAATCCCTTGGATGTAGACTGTAATAAATTAAAGTTGTATATTACAAATCCTATAGCAACCCCTAAAAAAAAAAAAAGCTAATATAAGTCAACGGTAGAGCTAAATGGAATTATTTTTTAAAATATTCAATCCAAGAGAAGGCAGGACAAGAGAAAAAGGGACATAAAGAACAAATGAGTAAAATAGAAAAAATAGCAAAATAACAAATTGCAGCCCTGTCATACTGTTAATTACATTAAAATAAATAGTATGAACACCCCAGTAAAAAAGCAGAGATTATCATATTGGATAAAAAAGTAAGACCCAGCTATATACCATCTCAAAAGACCCTCTAGGGGCACCTGGGTGGCTCAGTCGGTTAAGCGTCTGCCTTTGGCTCAGTTCATTATCCTGGGGTCCTGGGATGGAGCCCCACATTGGGCTCCCTGCTCAATGGGAGGCCTGCTTCTCCCTCTCTCTCTCAAATAATAAAATCTTTAAAAAAATAAAAGAGATCCACTTTAAACTTAAAGATACAATATAAAAAGATGGAAAATATATAGCATGTAAAAGAAAGCTGGAACGGCTATACTTACATCATCAAAGTAGATTTCAGAGCAGGGAATTAAGAAGAATATTACAGGGGCGCCTGGGTGGCTCAGTTGGTTAAGCGACTGCCTTCGGCTCAGGTCATGATCCTGGAGTCCC